TCTTCTTCACTTTCTGTAAGTAAGGCTGTGTCATCTGCATAGTACAGACTGTTGACTCACATTCCTCCAATGCTGATGCCACATTCTTCTTCGTATAGGCCAGTGCTCTGGCCTATGCCTAGAAATTTGGTAGATAGATAGATAGATAGATAGATAGATAGATAGATAGATAGATAGACAGACAGATATTGTATCTATACTGTGATCATATTGTCTGTTGTTGTTAGGTACAACATATTGTCTGATGTTGAGTACAACTCATGGTGACCCTATGAACCACAGATCTGAAGCCTGTCCTAGCCTTCACAATCCTCATCATCTCTGATACATTTGAGCCCATTGCTGTAGTCATTGTGTTAATCGCTCTCATTGACAGTCTTCTCTTTTGTTGACTCTTCACCTTTCCAATCATTATTTCCCTTTCCAAGGAATAGCCTCTCCTTAGCAACATGCTCAAAATATATGAGATGGAAGTTTCACCATCCTTGCCTCTATGGAACACTTTGGCTGTACTTTTCCAAGTACATTATATTGCCAATTGTGTTGTTGTTATTGTGTATAATTGAGTCAGAATTGACCCATAGCTGACCCCTCCAGTGGGTTTTCAGAGGCAGTTGATTGCACAGGAGACTGCCCCTGTTTCTCCCACATATTGCCAATAGATGCCCATTATAATTTTTAAATATTCCTTTCTCCCCTTTTAGAAAATAAAAATTACTGAAATTCCTGAATTTGAAGTCTTGAGTAAGATACTGCTTTTACCAAATTCCACGTAAGTAAAGTCCACAGAATCATCTGCATGCCTGAGAATCATGGCTGCCTAACTTACTGCTGTCCTGAACTGCTGGCTTGGGAAAGCATAGCATTTGGGAATCATCTTATCTACATATAGTATTGGAATAGTCTTCCAATTCCTTCTTCCTCCCAATAGCTTAACACCTGCAACTTTTAGAAGTTTGATTTGACATAGGAGGTGTTTTGTGTTTAACAATTAGAAACACATTAATTCCTCATAACCCCAAATTGCTGCCAGGGAAATTCCATCTACGCAATATCTTTACACATGGCATTTTTCAGCTTTTTAGGAAAAGGTTTGGAAGAGTCAGTTGGAAGTCTTCCAAAGATTGAAGGACGTAACTCAGAAACAGCAATGGAATACCCTAAATCCTCTGAGACTCTTTCATGTTCACAGTGTTCTCAAGTTAGATGTGCAAATATGGCTTCTTTGAAAGAGACATGCAGCATCCAAGAACAAAACCAAAAATCAGAGCCATAGAATCACCAAGGTCTAAAAAAGCATACAGAAGCATGACCAAGAGGTTGAGCCTGACATGAAGAAGGGTTACCACAGATTGCCACTGGACCTCAACCAGGAGTCTTCTAAATGGCTGATAACTCATTAAAGCAGTAATAAAACTGATTTTCTTAATTGTCTTTTTTATCCTCCAGTGTCCTGTACTGATCAATTCAGTGACTTCAGTTAAATGCTGTTCTTAGTTTTCTCTTCAGGGAGGACAAATTTGGTTAAGTAAGCACTATATCAGGTATTTTTTTTTCTTCCTTATTTTTTTTAAATTGTAAAGATAGTAATATTAAATTATTTTTTAAAGATCACTTCTTATAATCCCATCTTTTTAATGCAACTGTTTTTATTTCACGGAACTCCGGTGGCCTACTCTACACATAGAAATTTGTTCTGATAACCCAAAGGCAGTACCTCTCACAAAGTTACAGTCCACCTCAGCTCATCGAGAGGAAAATGGGCAATCTTGTCCCATGCAATCTATAGCCTCTAAAACCTGCCGAAAGGTCAGCTATGATTCAACTCCAACTCAATGGCAATAAGTGACATTTTCTTTTTAAAAAAAAATTCATTTTAAAAATATTCTGGTCATTATTCTTTTTTTTTCATTAC